TGTCGTGACATGACGAGGGGGAGAATAAACATGTAAGTAGAAAATACAATCGATAAAGATTCGTGAGGATGTCGTGACATGACGAGGGGGAGAATGAACATGTAAGTAGAAAATACAATCGATAAAGATTCGTGATGATGTCGTAACGAGGGGGAGAATAAACATGTAAGTAGAAAATACAATCTATAAAGATTCGTGATGATGTCGTGTCGAGGGGGAGAATAAACATGTAAGTAGAAAATACAATCGATAAAGATTCGTGATGATGTCGTATTGAGGGGGAGAATAAACATGTAAGTAGAAATTGCAATCGATAAAGATTCATAATATTTACATTTTGCAATAACCCTTGTTGGCTTCCCCTAGTTGCTCCCGCCTTCGCCGCTCGTTTGCTGCGGATTTCCTATCCCTTCCCCCAGCAATCCCCCCATAAAAAACTTACCTTCCATTATTGAAGTAAGTATGCAGTGATGATAACGTCTGGTACGTGAYCTTACATTATCTAGATGTGATTTGGCCGGAAGTGAAAGAGTCAAGCGAGCCCAAGTAGACGGAGAAAGGCTATCAGAACTACAGCACATTAACCTGTCACTATTGGAATTGGGGTAACTATAGCAACACTAGTCACACAGGGTACCCAACGGAAGGAAAAATTAAGCTTGTCGCCATAGAAACAGGAATACATATCTTTAGCTTCGTATTCAAAATGTCCATTTCAGATCACATGACATTCCCTTGAGAATTGTTCTTTTGTGACAAACATTTTAAAATATTTACACACGAAAGAATCAACTTCCAAGAGTGGTATCACGTGGTCTGAAATGTGTACGACAAACAACGAATCTAAAGAGGTCTATTACACCCATCAAATGAAATAAGTTTGGGGTGTAACTATGGTAACAGCATAACATTAAAAGAAAGTGTGCAAAGGAGTCTGGTAGTAGAGGTCAATGACGCCATCATGCATCCCACCCAGTGTATTAAGCCCAAGGTTGTTACTATAGTAACAGTACTACACAGGGTACCCACACTATCATACCAATTTGTAGTGGGGGTATTTTATTAAGCTTTGGTTGATGTTTTAGGAACACGATCCACGCTCTTTCAGAAGGTAACAGGACTCATATTCCATACCGTAACTCGACCCTGACGCGGCTTCTTCAGGACAGTCTTGGAGGAAACTGTAAAACTGTTTTTGTGGTAGGTTCTGGAAAATAAATTAACAAATTAAGTTATAGCTTTTAGATGAGGATTTGCACCATCACGTGACGGCAGCCATGTTAGATGGCGCAGGAGCAATAGAGGATTTGCGCCATCACGTGACAGCAGCCATGTTAGATGGCAGAACCAATACAATCGTTTTACATGGGAAAAAAATCAATTCTCAAGAGAAAAGAGATTTTATTGTTCTGCCATCTAACCACAGGCAGCCCAAGCTGTACTATGGGCACCGGTACGTGTATGGTGCAAAGCATCTATTCAAACCTTGCTACGCACGCGCTCTGATTKGTTGAAATCAATCTCCCTCACGTCATCTGCGCACGCGCACCGTCTACGGCTTCTCGTCCTTTCGGTGCTTCTGTTGTATTCCWGTTATATAATATCTGTTATATTACTGAACATATCACGAAAMCACGGAAAAAGCTGCGCTCGATTGTCTCATTTTTACTTTCATTCTTTTTCAGTTGTGTGTCTCTCCCACAAGAATGGACCTCAGCGAAACGAGATGTACGCTGGAGTTTGGCTCRCGGGCACTCAAAATCAAAAACACCACTTATGTCAACATGGAGGTTAGATCGATTGTTTGTCGATTATTTAAGAAATCCCTTGCTTCCACTTTAAGGGCCTGCTACACTACACTTKGGCAAGGTCGCAGCTCTAAGAAGATCTAACCCAATAGAGCGTTTTCACRTGACGTCACRGCGGCCATTATGGGGTACCAAAACAATACATTTTCTATCCTCCGGGAATKGAAMTCTATTTTTATGCAAATACTGTGCAGAAAGTTTCTRTTGTTTATGGCTGCCTTCTCACGTGAGTGAAAACGCTCTATAGGCAATGTGCACGAGCACGAATATCTAGCACAAAGCATGATGGGAAACAGAGTACTACACAAATCAGTACACGGAAGTCAAAAGAATTATCTGGGAAAAAAATACTCTGTTATTTTTGTCTGTTAAAATAATTAAAGTTTCATAGGAAAAAAAGAAAAAATTGTCAGAGGAATTTTTGAAGGAGCTGAAAAATCGTAAATACTAGGTTTCCCATTATGCTTTGTGCTAGAGTTCGTACTCGTGGACATTGCCTATTGGATGGATCAATAGAACGAGAAACAATATAAACAAACCAATAGAACGAGTCCACAATGAAAACTATTGTTTGTTTTTGCCAATGACGACAGCTCTACTTACAGGCTGCGGCATTACTGGCTTTAATGTTTGTCCATTTCAGACCACGTGTGATATTGAGAATAAGATTCTTTGTTTGAGTTACATCCATCCATCTTCATATGTCTTCTCATGCGCAACCGTTAAACAAAAAAATGATACTCTAGGGAATGACATGTGGTCTGAAAAAACTATACGCCAAGCTAAAAGGTTCGATAGGCCATTGCTCTTGAAGTTGCCCTATTCGTTCGGGCACGATGCTTTCTCATTTGAAACTAAAATTCTTATTTTGAGTTTTATTAATTTTAAAGTACATTTCCAAACCTTGCTGTTTCCGACACTAGAGAAAAACGTTTGCGCATGCGTTCATTTCAGCACGTGTTCTAAGAATTTTGAAGAATTTTGTTTTCTCCAAGTATACAAAAAAGTTCGCGAGTATACTTTTGTGAGACCAAGATACTGTATTAAGAAACGCAATATCAAAGAATTAGCCTTAAGTTTCAAGCATGGACACTAAGTTTTGGTATTTTGTGAAGTCCAATTTATCAGGCATGTTTGAAAGCCAAATTTACATATGTTTTGACTAATTTGCATACGGATTCAGAGCATGCGGAGACGTTTTTCACTCGTGTCACTGTTTCCAACATTCCAACATTATTACGCATAAGTCGGGCATGCCAAAGTTTGTCATCCGCTGACCCTTGTTAATGTATTCTATCAGGTCGACTTTGTTAAGCTTGCTGCTGATCTGCGAAGAAAACTAGAAGCACAAGGTAGGCACCATGTTAAACATTCCACAAATAGACCCATTGTCTTAATTGATRATCTATTGATTAAAACCAAAGAATTCCACACTCTTTAATCGTTCTGATATATTTTAGTATTTTCGACCCCCTAGTTAGGGATTTAGCACAAGGGSTTTTATAGGACAATAAATGTGCTTTTACTAATGCCACATGTTCTCTAATCTTGATTTATTATCTGGATTTTTCCTCCMGTGCCGGAATTGTAAGGATAACGAATCAGAATTCTCACATATAGTTAATCTAAAGTCGATCATTCATTCATTTACTTACAGGCTTCACGAAGAAATTTGTTTTTTCGCAGCCTTCAATCAAAAATAATCAGTC